GTAAGAAAGATGAAATTAAAGAAAATAGAAGTTAGGATGACCCACAGATTCATCATAAATCATTTCCCATATGAAATCACAACCCCTAGAAGGAGAGCCTTACGTATGATAGAATTGTTCTAATAAAAAATACTGCTGTGTTTGGTCCACGATTGAATGGCCTGAGAGTAATTTACATAAATGTCAAGAGTGCGCTGATGGAGCAAGAAAGCATAGGTCAGACTGCCTGCTTAGATTGGAATTCCTAATTCATTTTCAAAGTTGTGCCAGAGAGCTCTTGTGACAGGTTGAAGGAGTTTTCAGGCCACGTTATGCTCTTTTTTTTTTTTCTTTTGTTGATGCTGATATTAAAAAATACATCAAAGGAGGAAGTAGAAAAATTATTTAAGCTATAAGCAGGAGAGCAAATTCTTTAATTAAATCCTTAATTAAAATAGACCATGGCATGAAGTAGCTGAACTACGTTTCCTTTCTCAGACAGGAAAAAAGAAAGTGTGACCTTCCCATTTCTCATATTCTCTATAAGCAGAAAATAACTAATTATATCTTATTTCTAATTATAAGTCTATCAAATTTTCATGACTATGGGAGCGGGCATGGACTAGAACTAGGCACTATCAAGCAGTCATTGATAAAGTTTCAAGTCTTAGATTCTTTCTTTTATAAACACACCTCTAATTTATGAATTATGTTTCAGTTACAGAAACTGATAATATGTATAAAACAGGTTGAAAAGGTGGAAAGAATGTCTTAATAAAAATTTTAGTAGGAATGGTGACCAAAGCCAAACATTCAAATTTTGCTGCTTTAGAAGAGTAAATACATTTTCAAAAAGCCACATTAAGTATGGGTCCCAGCGGTGTACACTTTTGTCAAAACTCTTCAAGCTGTGCACTTACGCCCTGTCCATTTAACCATACCTAAAGTACACCTTAATTTAAAAAGAATTGAAAAAGCATCCTCAACCCTAAGCCCCAAAGAGCTATAGTCACATAATATAAGAGGAAAAATCCAAGAAAAAGAAATGCTCAGGCTGTTTGCCATTGATTGATACAGTCACTTTAAATCTTTTTTATGCCCTTACTTCAACCACTATTTGATCATTGGATCTGTTCCTAAGGGAATGTGTGGAGAAGCAATTGAACCAACTCTTTCTGTGTTTTTCACACACCTTGTCCCTCAGCATTCATGATTTAAAGAATGCAAGGTAGATTTTGAAGGGTACATTCATATCAAGGGGATTACATGAAAGTAGTCACTTTTTTGTGGCTAAAAGGGCTTTTCTTTGTTCTCTTACCAGGGGAAAAGATTTGCTTTGGGCAAGCTCCCCATGGCAAACCTCTTTGAGGAATGAATTCTGAAGTGCATTCAACCATGTCTTCATGACCTTGTAGTTAAAGCATTTAAAGGGGATAGTGGGACATTGTCCTTTGCCATCCTTTCTGTCTTTGATGGGTGATTTTAGCCAATCTGGGATTTTGATATACTTTCTAGGACACTTGAAAAAGTATCTTTGTAAAAGCTTTGTAAAAGATTCCACATTTACTAAGTAAACAACAAGGACAGAAATCCTTAATAAATGCTAAATTCAAAATCAATTCACACCCAAAAATTTTCAGGAAAAGATTCTTAAAATGTGATACATTTTTTGCTCATATTTACAAATTAAGTTTACACAGTGCTTTACTGGTAAACTTACAGTTTATCAATAAGTGATTTTAAGACATAAAGTGAAAAAACCTCATATTTGTAGTAGTATGGCCCAAGGCATGAGTAGAGAAAGTAAAAAGAAAAAGGAAAAAAAAAAAAAAAGTTGAGTTGAGCACAAGCTCTCACTCTGCTGCTTGTCAGGCTGCTCTCCCATCAGACTGACCTATGAGATGAAGAAGTATCTTAAGACATCACCTGATCCTTTCCCTCCATTTTACAAAAGGGGAAACTTAGACTCAATTTCTGTTATTTGATTAAGGTCCTTCATGAGGATCAAATAATAAATTGTTGAAAAGGTCACCTTTACATTTTCACTCACCTTAAGGTTAAACTCCAACTGAGTATTAGGATATCTAAAAAAAAAAAACCAAATACTTTCTCAAAATAAGAAAAAAACTCTTTAGACTGAATGCAATTACTTTAATCAAAGGTACAGTCTGTGTAACCAGATAGTCTTGGGTCCAAATCCTAGTTCCACAACTAACCAGCCATGTGACTTGCAGTGAATTTCTGAGACTCTGTTTCATTTCCCATAAAATCATGAAAAACATGTATCTCAAAGACTGCTGGTGGGGAGGGTGGCAAGTGAGATCCTATGAAATGAGGTGTCTAGTACAGGTAGTGGGAACCACACATAATATGTAAAGAATATTGTATTTTAAATTCCAGATGAGGAACGTGTATGTTTACTTTAAAATTATTTGGCTCTGCTCCTGACACTTATGACTAGAATACCAAAATATAACTGAATAACTTGAAATGTAATTATCAGAACTATAAAAATTATTTCTTGAGCACAATGGTAACAGGTACTGTGATGGTACAGAAAGAACCTGTCATTCTGTTTCTGTCCTGAAAAAGAAATCAATTCACATGAAACCAGTAGTGACCTATCAAAGTCTCATGTGATCAAGTGCTCCGTTGTGTTTAACAGTCCTAAAAGAAAAGAGAGAGATCCCAGTGAGGCTCAGATCACCAGCATACCTCGTTTTACTACACTTCCCTTTAGTGCCCTTCCCAGATGCTATGTTGAAGGCAACCTTACATTGAGCCAATCTATTGGCGCCATTTTTCAAACTGTGTTTCCTAACTTCCTGTCTCCCTGTCACATTTTGGCCATTCTCACAATATTTCAAGCTTTGTCATTATTATTACATTTACACTGTTGCAATCACATGATAGAATTTTATCAGGTGAAGAGTTGTTTCTTAGAGATGAGCAAAGAAAGTGCTTCTTGAGAAGGAATCGACTCCTGGTGAAGATGTTGAAATGACAATAAAGGATTTAGAATATACCATGAACTTAGTTGACAAAGTAGCAGCAGGATCTGAGAGGATTGACTCCAATTTTGAAAGAAGTTCTACTGTGGCTAAACTGCTGTCAAACAGCATCACACGCTATCGAGAAATCATTCATGAAAGGAAGAGTCAAGTGATGTGGCAAACTTTATTGTTATGTTATTTTTAAAAATTGCCTCAGCTGCCACAGCAGTCATCAGCCGCCTTCCTGCTCAGTCCGCAGCCATCGACATCTCCACCAGCAAAAAGATGACTATTCGCTAAAAGCTCCAGGGTTGACTAACATTTTTAGCAGTAAGGTATTTTTAAGTTAAGGTAGATGAATTTTTTATATATAACACTATTACACACTTCATAGACTACAGTATGCTATCAACGTAACTTTTATATGCACCGGAAAACTAAAAATTTCATTTGGCTCACTTTATTGGGGTAATTGCTTTATTGAGGCCGTGAGGGGCGAACCTGCAATATCTCTGAGGTGTGCCTCAGCATCCAGGACCTAGTGCACGGAACGTGAGTGAAGGTGCTGGTGAAGATGGGAGAATGAAAGGGACCTCATCTGCAGGGGCTCCATGCGTAATGTACGAGGAGAAGGCTTGTGTAAGTAGGGCAAATCCCAAGCAGCAAAACAGTCATACCCCAAATGCATCCATATGATTCCTCATTCACATAACACTTTATATTTTTACTTAGCTATGAAGCAATTGAATGCTGACCTTTTTTTCCCAGACAGGGAGGATAAGTACTCTGCCCAAAATAGCCAGATTTGGAATTAGCACTCACACCCCTAGACCACATTTCTCATTCCTTTAGCCTTATGCTTTCATTATGTTCTTTAGACCATATTTCACACTTAAAGTTCACCTTTTTAAATAGAAATTGACATTCCACGTCTGCTTTCCCAGGAAGCATTGCATAGAAGACAAAAATCTAAAATTCTTATCCTGTCTATAGTATTAATTGGCTGTGGAGCCAAGAATGAACCCCCTCGTCTCTGGGTGAATTACTACATGGAATGGTTCCTCCTGAGCATGAAATTTTACAATCGGAATAGGGATTTAGCCCAGCGGAGGACAGCAGAGTAATACTCAACGTTCATTGCACAACCTGAATCTGACCCGTTTTACACAATCTTTGGGTAAAACTGCCAGTCCCCATTGTTTCTCTCTACCCCATAAAAACTGAGTTCAAAAATGGATAGGAAAAATTGATTTTATTGCCCTGCCTGATAAAGAAAAACCACCTTGAATGTGAATGGCAGCTTTCTGATTATTCATATGTCCTCTATAGGTATCCAATCCCTCAACACTATACAAATTCCTGAGAGGGCCTGACAAAACACTTGAGGACATAGTAGGAAGAAAGGAGAATGGCAGCTGCTAGGAGAAATGAAGGAGGGATTTTAGTCCTCTCCTAGGGTGGTGACAGGGCTTGAGAAGGAAGAATCTTGCCCTCCTGTGTTTGGTGCGATGTGGACTTGAAATCTGCGCGTAAATCAAAAACAGCAAAGAGCAGAGCCCGCAAATCTACCAGGTCTATATACTAGCCCCGGGGTACTTAATGGGAAAGCGAACTCACACTGCTCATTAAGAGTCCAGGTTAACTTAAATACAGAACCCTGCTCCAGTCTGGAGCCCCAGCGCGTCTCCGGGTGCGTGAAAACTTGCCCTTGGTTTAGGCGGGTCGTTTGAAGAACTCAGAACTCCGACAACCAACAGGCTCTCGGGACGCGTCCCCGGCCAGGGACTGCCCTCTCCAGCGGGCAGCTCCTGCTGATGCTGTCCAGGCATCGCCCAGGGGAAAGGTTGCAGAGCGGTCGGAAGGCGCGGGAGGAGTCTGGCGGTGATTGATGGGGAAGGGACGCATGAATAAAAGTACTTGTCTAGGGACAGCAAGGACCCCGACCGGGCGAGCTGTGGAGGCTACTTGGTCTGGCATTCCCTCGTTCCGCGTTTCGTCAGAGCCAGACCCGCCCGCGGCTGAAGGGAGGCGTGCTCGCCCCCGGAGCGGGCTGCAGGCGAGCTGCGAGCAGAGCTTCTCGGGAAGGAGGTCACCGCTGGTCCCTCTGCGCCTGGTGCTCCCGATTCGAGAGGTAAACACTCTGGCTTGGTGGGGAATTAAATCGGTGATTGAACCTTATCCCGGGGCTTCAGCTTGGGTTAGTAGTTGGGGATATATATATATATATATATATATATATATATATATATATTTTAATCTAATTTTTTAAAAAGATGTATAGAATACAATTAGTTGTATTGTTGGAGTAAAGGAGGTTGGAAGAGGAGAGCACATGAGAGTCAAAAGTCACTCTGAGGGGACAGACGCTTGCGAGTTAATGCTGATACTCCCCCCAAGCCGGACGAGTGAAGTGTCTGAGTCAGTCGGTGCACTCCGGGAGGCGCGGGGGCATTCCGGGCGCAGGCAGCTGGGAAGTAGCGGCTTTCACTCGCCAGGAGGAGTCTTGTGGTTCAGACCCGGTATCCGCGTTCCCTGGGGAGCAAAATGCAGATTGGCGTATGCGCTTGGCCTCTACGTGCCTTGATTCCCCAGTTCCCACGCGTCTTTAGCCAGAACGTACGTGCTTCCTCGGGGCACACCAGGGAGCTCAGAGCTCTGCCTCGGACACCCATCCTTCTCGCCCTGGCACACCCCTTCCAGAAGGCCCCGCGCCTCGCCCCCTACGAGTCACTTATCCCTCGGGGGAACGCCAGGGAGGGGGAAAAAAAAAAAACACAGGGATAACTGGACCGGGAAGGACAATCGACGGGCACAGGAGGGTCACGCCACCAGCTCAGCACCCGCGCGCAAACTTGAGTTACATTTGCGCGCGGGTAGTGGCCGCGCGGCTGCGCTCTGCGGGAGCGGAGCAGGGGCGTGGCTGAGGTAGCTGACCAAAGCGTCCTGTCTTTCTTCCCTTGCTCAAGACTCCCTCTTCTAGACTCAAAGCTGCAGAGCAGCCACCGGACGCCCACTGGAGCAGGCAGCAACATGCAGCTTCTGCTAAGTTGGGGCAGACGCGCCCTGGTGGCGTTGATCCTCGCCTGCGGCGTGGCGGGGGTCCAGGGAGAAGAGCCGGGATTCCCGCCGGCTGGGGCTACTCTGCCACTTCTGGGGCACGGAGAGATAACGACGCCCCGCACTGAGGTTTCCTGGCCGAGGGGTTCCAACTCCAGCGCGCAGTGGTCCTCTGCACCTCCGCAGATGCCTAAAGCAGGGAGAACACCTGGAGCCCCTCCACGCGCCTTCTCCCCTCCCCCCTGCGAAAAATCCTTCGAGATCAAGGAGACTTTCAAGTATATCAACACGGTGGTGTCCTGTCTAGTGTTTGTGCTAGGCATCATCGGAAACTCCACACTGCTGAGAATCATTTACAAGAACAAGTGCATGCGAAACGGCCCTAATATCTTAATAGCCAGCTTGGCTCTGGGAGACCTGCTGCACATCATCATTGACATCCCCATCACTGTCTACAAGGTAAAGGGTTAATATCTCTGGGAGGATGCCTAGTTAGGAGGAGGGAGATGGGACAGCCTTTGCGGACGCTTACTCAAGAAGATCCATCGCCTCCTAAAGTTAGTATCCCTGGAAATAAATTCCCTACTGGTCTTCAGTAAACTTAGCCTAAGCTTAGATCAAGTGTAGTCCCCAACCCAGCAAGATCAGCATCACTTGGGAACTTGTTAGAAATGACATTTTAGGGCCGCACCTCCAGCCTGCTGATTCAGAAACTCTAGGATGGAGTGCAATAGTCTGTATTTTAACAAGCCCTTCGTGTGATGTGATGAACTGTGAAGCTTGAGAACCACTGGTCCTGAAGTATGTAGTCCCTAAGCACAGCTCACTGGGTCCATTCTCTCTGCAAAGGTATGGTCCATGGATTGGCAGGACTGATATCACCAGAGAGCCTGTTAGAACTGCAAGTGCAGGCCAGAATTAGAAAAGCAGAATCTGTGTCTTAAGTTACCTAGGTGGTTCATATGCACATTAACCTTGGGAAGCACTTTTGTAGAGGGCCCTGAAAGTAGAGGGGCTGGAATGGGTTTTGGGGAAACAAATGAGTTAGAAAAGACCCAAACTAGTGAGTACACTAACACAGTTCACCTGCTGTGAATGACTGTATTGTACCGACTCTTTATCACGTGTCTACAGGGGGCCGAGCACTGAAATGGACTTTTGACAATCCACAAGTAGGTATTTCTCCATTTTTACAGATGACTGATAAGGTGCTCAAGGTCTCATAGTTAGTAAGAGATGGAGGTGGGAAACAGACCCAAATCTATCAGGTCCAGAGTACAAGTTGTACCTCCACCCCACCCCCGCAATTACCTTGTGAACAAACCAAAGGCGGCGGGGGGGTGCTTTCCATGCGAAGTCTTTAAGGCTTTCAGTAGCTAACATTACTGTGATTACTATGGGCATCAGAGGAAACAGGCAGGGAGAGCTAGAACAGGACATACACCCCCACATTATTTGACTCCAGGTTGCTTTGGAACTCTAGACACATCCCAACGTCTCTGGGCCTCAATTCCCTCGAACCTACAAAGAGGCTGTTAGAGCCCACTTACTGGCGTTTTGTGGTGCTAAGAAGAATAGCCTAAGTGAAAGATCCGGAAGATTCTAAAGACCCGTGCAAGTATGTAAAACTCTCCTTACCCATCATGATCAGCAATAGAAAGCCATAAAGAAGAACAGAACCAAAGTAAAGGAATGGGAAGGCGCTTTGGGAATTTTCCTGAAGGTAGTCGAGGGCTCAGTACAAGGGAAAAATATGGCATGGAGGGCTAGAAAACCATGGGGAGGGAAGTTCGATCTTTGTTCAGCCATAAGCCATAAGCCATGCCTTTCAGTCCTAATCCAAATAGCCATTCTTTAAGAGAATTTTAGCAATTTCTGAAGTTTAGAAATAGGATTCAGATTAAGATCCAGGCTCTAGAAGGAAACACTCCCACAAATGTGGGGGGAATAAATAGAAGAAATCCTAAAATCTTGCATGGCAACTTGTTCTTCTGAAGTCTGAGTGTTTCCTGGGAGAAGCACCATCTGAAATGGTTCCCTCAAATGCAGTGACAGTTCTATTAGAGCCAGAGGTGACACATTTACTTGGTTTGGGAGTCCCATAGGCCAAGTCTTAGCATTCCAATTTGGCAAAGGATTCCAATTCAATTCACCAAAATTAACTTGAGAAACTGTAGAGTACAAGGTGTTGAGAAATAATAAGTGTTAAATGAGAGCCTTTTGAAAAGGGAGATAACAGTCTGGGTTTGCTAGGCTTGCAGAGAATTTTGTGAAGGGTCCCTCTGGGGAGGTCTCAGAAAACCCCACATGTCCAGCTCAGTCTCTGAGTCAGAGACCTTTCTAAGTCAGCCAGCAGCTCAAGTGCTGTGTGGAAGATGGGGTTGAGGACATTTTCTTCTAGATGGGTTGCTTCTAGGCCGGATGAAATAAGGTCTTCCAGGACCATCTTACTTTGTCTGTCTGGTCAAATGATTATGCTCGATCAACCAGAGGATATCTGACTCCCAAGGGGGCACACAGCTTTTACTTTCATTTCAATTTTCTTTATGATTTCCCTAGGAAATTACATCATTTTGCCTGAGACCATTCAGTCCGTTAAAGCTGTGTTTTTACTTCTGAAGTAAACAGACCAATGAGTCATTACAAATCTGGCCATCTAGTCATTTATGTTGGTCATAAACAAATCCGTTCACAAAGAACAAGGTCCCATCGCCATGTTTGCCAACATGGAATCCTATGTGGGAAACTTTGGTTTATTTTTATGGTGTTCATAAATATGTGTCACTTGAAGCATAATATAATAATAATAATACCAACTATTATGCACAGGTTCTTGGTTTATTTCATGAAATCACTGCAAGAAACCCTCTGGAGGATATATTGTTGTCATCCCTGTTTTATGGGAAAACTACATGTTGGAGAGGTGAAGAAGTAACTTGCCCAGTGTCACACCACTGGATAGTGATGAAACTAGAGCTCAAATGCATCCATCTGGTCCTAGAAACTGTGGTCTTCCCTGACCCTCTGCACTGAGTGAGCTCAGACCCAGCATGCCCTTCTCCCGCATGGAGTATTGCTAGAACCTCATTTGAGTACACTGGTGGGATTATATGATACACTAACACACACAATAGGACACTTGGCATATGTTTTCAGTTCTCAGCTGAGTCATTTGAAGATTTCTCTTTTTTTAAGATTTTATTTATTTATTTGAGAGAGAGCACTAGTGGGGAGAGGGGCAGTGGTAGAGGAGTGGAGAAGCAGAGAGAAGCAGACTCCAACTGGGCAGAAAGCCCAATGCAGGACTCTATCCCAGGACCCAGGGATCATCACCTGAGCTGAAGGCAGATGCCTAAGCAACTGATCTACCCAGGTGCCACACCCCCCATTTGAGGATTTCTATCTCCGGAAATCCTCTTCAAATGTTCTTTAGTGGGGCGCCTGGGTGCCTCAGTGGGTTAAGCCACTGCCTTCGGCTCAGGTCATGATCTCAGAGTCCTGGAATCAAGCCCCGCATCGGGCTCTTTGCTCAGCAGGGAGCCTGCTTCCTCCTCTCTCTCTGCCTGCCTCTTTGCCTGCTTGTGATCTCTCTCTGTCAAATAAATAAATAAAATCTTTTTTAAAAAATGTTCTTTAGTATATAATATGAATAATATCATTGTTTGTTATTCTGGAGGCTTTATTTACCAAAACACCCAATTCAGACTAGTTAAAAGCTATTTATTCCCCTAAATAACTGTGAAAACATTTAAGTAAGTTTTTAAAAATGCGTTCAGAATTTCAGCATGCTAAGGTATGATACTTAGCACAAAGTAACTTAAGTGAAATCAGTGAGTTCTAATTTTGTTTTTGTGGGGTATTACAATTCTCTTTCAGAATTCAGTTCACTGTATATATTATATAAAATATATATTATAATTAATATGGCATATTAATTTTATATATCTATATATAAAACATAAACAAATTTTCATTCTTATTCATACACACACACACACACACACACACACACACACACACACAACCAACATTCACAAAATCTGGGGGGTTCATAGAACCCACCCAACCCATCTGTTGGCACACCCAAGGGACCATAAATGTCAATGTGAATCTATTACATTAATCTAGGGTTTAGTAAATCCAGTGTTCAAAAAAGTTGGCAAACCCCAAACTATCATAGTCATTGCTACTGCTGTAGAATGAGAGACAACTTCACAGGGAGGGGCTTCTGTGAGATGCTGACAAACCTTAGGCTATAGATCTCTTCTTCCTTGACTCCTTCAAGGGACTGGGTCTCTGGAAACTTCCAGGTAGAGTCAGTCTTCTTATCAGGTCTCTTGTGTCAGAGAGGAAATCCTCTGACGAAGGCCAGAGAGGTGTTGGAGGACACCCAGCAGAGAGAAGCTATTGAAGTGCCTCACATATTTACCTAAATATGCTGAAAAGAAGAGCCTGGCTTACCCTTCTCAGCAGTATATGTTGGGCTCTAACATGCGACATTATATCAGGCTATCCAGGTGAAAATGAAAACTGCAGTCATCCAAAGAGGATATTCAAAGGTCTCTATGTCTATTTCTATATGTATATATGTGAACACATAAGTACATATATAAATGGATAGGTGAATATCATTTGGCACAGTGCCTGACACTAGTTAGCAAAGAATAAATGTTACGTGTGTGTGTGCATGAATAAGAATGTAAATTTGGGGGGGTTTTTTCCAGCTTTTGCCATTATAAACATAACTACAAATAATATATTTATACAAATGGTTTTGCATACATGTGTGACCATATCTGAAGGGTAAATTTCTAAACTAGAACTCCTGAATCAAAGGATATATGCATTTGTGATTTCGATAGCTATCTCTACATTGTGCCCCAGAGGCATGATAGTCCTCTTAGTCTGAATCACTATTTTAAGTAACATCTCCATACAGATATACATGTATTAATGTCTATCTCTAATATATACATGGATCGTCATGCCAGCATGTACATGGTCTATATCTATATCTGAACCAAAAGCCAGGATTTGTAAATATCTGATGTGAGGATGGATCTCTTCTTTTCACAAATTGTGCCCTTCCCGTGTAGACTGCAATGAATGCGGTCACCTAAATGTCTGTTACTGATGAGAACCTAACTAACTACAAGTTGTAGTAGCACTGATGTCAAAGTTGCCAAAGCTGTGCAAAAAGCAAAAGAGCTGGGCGTACTTCCGGATGCTCTGAAGGTTTTATGTTGTGGTTGGTTAGTTGATTGGTTTGGCTTGGTTTGATTTAGCAGTGATATTTAACAAAGCTTGGTGGCAAGTTGAAGCTAAAATTTATTTAACTTTTTTTAACTTCTCAAGCAATTAAAAATTCTTGAGCAAATAATGAGTTTTTAACTTATCTCTGGATTTTACGTAACACTTTCACTCTGTGTTATATTGGCATTGATAACTAAGTTAATACA